AATTACACAACGAACTCCCTAATGTCGCAACAATTACTGCGTTCAAACAACTGCAGATTCCGAAATCAGGCTAGAAGGCGTGTGCGTTCTTAGAGGGACCTTCTATGAAGCTTCTAATGTTTTTGAAATTCCGATGTACAGAATAGGATTGCCAAATCCAAACAAGCCGCAAGTTGTCAAAGTTGTGTTTGAAGATTTCGACAGCGAGCTGACAGAAACGTTAGGCTTGGAGCAACAATTTACAATTGAGATTTCTGAAAAAGTTGCCGAGTCATTTGTTCATGATTTAACTTTTGCACATTTGTCATCAGTCACTGATGTCAGACTAAGTTGTATGGGCAAGGTTTCAGTAAACAAGAAGGATTAAGAAGAAAAGAAAACGTGGTAGTGAACAGGAATGTTAATAAGTATATTATAATTTACAAAGTAAAATAAATAGTAATTCGATTTGTAATTTAATTTACAAGTGTAAAAATTGTGTTTGTAAACTTTGTATTGTTGTTCTCTTATTCATTTTTATTTTTCTCTCAAATTCAGTACAATTGTCACTCCCAGCCGTTTCCTGCCCACCTAAACTTCACTTTGCCTAGGCGTGATTGGTCTGCCTCCCTCGGAAGTAACGCGACTATACGCGGAAGGTCACTTACTACAGTAAATGACCGTCGGGACTATACTCCCTGAGGGGACGCTCTCGGAGGAGCATACTACCTAGGTCACGTTAACAGTGGGACAGGTATAAATAGGTAGTTACAACTAGTAGAGTTTAGTTTAATCACGTTCACAGCTAGTGGATTGTTCTCTCGAGTTTATTACATCTCTCTTTTGTACGTGTCCATAGACAGTTACTTGTGTGTATATTACTTTTTTTTAAGGGTTCTTTGCTTATTATATCACCTCATCGAGTATAATAGGATCTAATTGCTTCAATTATTATCTTTTGTTTATTGTATTATTTTGTTTATGAGTAATAAACTACTTAATAGTAAGGGTAGTAACGCATGAGTAGCAATTAAGTATTTCTACCTATTAATAGGTATCAAGGTAGCCATAGGTTGGCGCTGTAGCTTCAAGGACTGGTTGAGTTTACAGCAGAAAGAGTAGTAGAGAAGTCCCATAGGACACTATAAGAGAGAAGCTGACGAAGGCGACTTTTTAAATTTTAGAATTTTGTCTGCAGTTACGACAATGAGCCTGAAAAAGAAGTGAGAATGGAAATAATCCGTTGTCGTTACAGTAATCCTACATGTTTTTACTATGATGCCACTATTGTCAACTAATGTCAAAGTGTAGCGGTTACTGACAAATTATTAGTAAGTTGTATATATATAAATATATAATTTTAATCTCATTGGGGACGTTTTCAAGATTCTTTCTTGAACTTTCATTCTCTCGAGCTCCGGTTCTATACAAACTCTTCTTTGCGTTCTTGCTAAAATTCTTTCAAGCACTATGCGCTCTTGCAACACAGTCAGGATAAAATTTGTTTTTTCTGCAAATTTGCGATGAATAACATTTACCTGAGTTAATTAGTGCAACTTCATGTTGACCAACGTTTCATTTTTGATATTTCGGTTGAACATTTATAGTTTTTTTAAATTTCGCCGGCCGTTCTTGAGTTTCTCATGTTTCTTCGCATTTCTTTGACCACCATTCTACATCCACCGTCATTTCATTTTGAAGCTTTTTGACGTGGAATTCAGTTTCTGTACTGATAGGTTTCTACATCTCCAACTTTTTTAAGATCTTGCTCCTGTCTTCTATCTGGGTAGGTTTTTGGAATTCTTCTTATATCGACTGCGTTCTATATTCTTAGACAGTACGTCGATCTAAAGCCATAAATTTTTCATCAGGACTAGATCTTATTTGTTCTTAGACCGCTGCTCCGAGTCTTGGTAGATGGACAGAAGAATAAGCTGTTACAATTGCTGACGCACTTCTTCAATCAGGAAGCTACTCACAACTTTTCTATTATGTCCATTTTAATAGCCTTATTTCCATACTTAACTCCTGTATGCAATCGCAGCTGCTGACGCTTACAGTACCAACTCATTTAAAGAGGACTGACTGCTAAACACAAAAATGTCAGTCTTCAGATGTCGCATAACTATTTAATGCATAACTCTTTATTGCTCAAAGTTTCTTGGGTAAATCACACGCTGAAGAAAAATTGAGGTATTTTTACTCGACAGTGAAATAGACAGACTCTTCTGGCACAGAACAGGAGCCTTACCCGATAGAACAAAGAATAAAATAAAGAGTTGTAAGGAAATAGAGTTATAAACGACTGAATAATCAATAAAATAAATTATTATACTAATTTTAAGACAAAAACCCTGTAAGCTGCCACGGGACACGGCCTATAAAGCATATAAAAAAACGATTTTAGAAGAAGCCCAAAACCACTATTTTGCCGCGTGCGCATAGAAAATGCAACACGAAGTTTTTAACGATCAGTATTTAGATAGTGTGTCTTAGTGGATTTCCTACATTTCACCAAAAGCGGCCAGTCAACCGCTTATAGGCTTGCAGTGTTGAACCTGATTGTCCCCTCCAAATCTCCAGAATTTGATTTCAACTATTTGCGCGCAGCCTCGTTTTGTTTTTCTATCTTGAGTTTTTAAAGCACTATTTCAAGTTCTTTGCTGTACGATAACGTAGACAATACCAAATAGAAAGTTTTATTAGTCTTCAAAAACTTGAGATTTTTTTTAGAATATCTTCTGCATCTTAAGTTTGTGATCTTTACTGAACCTTTTGCTGTTTTCCTGTTTTTGAAATGCCAGCAGAAGTACTTGAAAATATAACATTATTCATTTACTTTTTTTTCAAATTAGAACGACATAGAATGTGGTTCTTTGAACAATGCAGCTAAAGTATTTTATTATCTTGAGATTTTGCAAATGTTTAACAGTAACCAAATTTAATTTTACAGTGATAAGCATGTACATTGGTTACACTAGTAGAGTATTCTGGAAACGCATTTACAGTAGTAGAAAAAAAGGTGAGAGTTAATTTAGTCGGGAATGTTTGGGATTGAGAGAAAGTAGTGTAATTACCACTCATCAAAGAGATCCACTTCGGGTTGTGATGCTGCCTTAAAAAACTAAGACTGTTCTTTTAAAAATCTAGTATTTTACTAAACCTTGTAAATAGTAACCAAATTAGATAGAAAAATGCAATAGCCTTACCGTTTCAACGTCACTGTCTTCGTCATAGGAGTCAAAGTTACCCGTATCGCCGCTTGAATATATCGTTGGTATAACGGGTGGCTGTAAAAAATGCTACTTATTTCCTTTTTGTTATTTTTTTACAATTTCACAAGCTGACATATTGCTAAGTGACCGTTCTCACGGTCGTTGATATTAAGTTCTAAATGTTTAAGTAAAAATTTTCCTATCATCTGTTAATTTCAGCACCTTGAATGACCTGCAAAAAGAAGTAAATCGTTGAAAACAAGATATTGATGGAATTTACCATAAGTTTTGAAGCGGCAACATCGTCCCAACGAATATCAGCAAACCATTTGTGATTCATAACGTCTGCTGCACCATTCTTAAGGTTACCTAGCCTTTTGAACTGATCCCTCTGCAGCAGTTTTTTCACAAGGTCTCTAAAAATGACCACTTTAGCTCCAAAAGACATAGACGACTCCGTCTGTTAACAAATCAATGATTTTTGCAGTGATAACCATAGAATAATCGTTAGACTTTTATTGAAGCAGTTTTTGTTGTAGGTAAAAATGCTGGTTCTTTCAATCTATAAATTCATTTACAAATTAAAATATTATTTGAACTCTGATCTTCCTTGTAGGACTTTAATTGCTATTTGATTCCAAATTAACAATCTGCATCGCAGAACTTCAGATTATTTCAATGACAAAATGACTCATTTTAAGAAGCAAAACTGAATTTTTTTAAGCTTAATTTAATGAAAAGATGAAGCTAAGAAAGAAATTCTTGAACAGGCAAAAAGTTGATTTGGAGTTTTTTTTTTTGACTTGAATATCACTTGATATACGGGTTATTACTGTTAACTTCTTAAGTGTTGTACGCACTTCTGGTCTACTTCTAATTTCCTTTCACCGAATATTCTAGGCAACAGTAAAATAAGTGAGCTTCAAATATCATTTAACCAAAATTTTATTCGACCGTACGGTAATTTAATTAGAAAAAAGCTATACTATCCCAACACTTACTTTGCATTTGTATCAAACGACCTCGGGAACCTTATCTTTCCATCCAGTATTTTGGCAAAAACTTCACTGAGCACCCGTCCTTCAAACGGTGGATTTCCGACTATCATTTCATATATCAGGATACCCAGAGACCACCAATCAACAGCTTTTCCATGGCCTTCATGTGTGATAATTTCCGGTGCCAGGTATTCTGGTGTCCCGCACATTGTCCACGTCCTGAAAGCACATTTTGTTTTGTTGTTTTACAAAATTTTTCTAATTACAGCATATTCAAACTGATCGAAATTAAAGATAGGAGCTTTGGTCGAAGTTATTTTTCAGCAGCACTTAATAAACGCTTTGTAAACCACGAAATAAAACTGTTAAGAAGCATAACTTCTTGGTTCAGGAGTCCCAAGACTAGAAAAGCAGTAAGTGTTTTAAATGAGATAAGAATAACTGATTTCTTCTAATTTTCCTTCATTTTATTAGTTTAAAGTTAGCTACTTATTAAATTCGCTGACTAGAGAACAATGGTAAAATCTTAGTGATTTGGAAATGAGAATAAGGGAAACAACTGCTCATTATGATAAGAACCAAATGGTACATAATTTGGCTTTTAATAAAAAGTAGCCAGAAAATTGGACTATGAACATTTGAGTCAACTTAAAAAATACAGTTTTTACTAAGATACACTAAATTGTGCAAAAAGAAATTGCTGAGACTGATTTATGTTCACTCACCAACTATAACTTTGACAGATTATTTGCTTTTTTAGATTTTTTCAGTTAGCTCAATCATAAAACTGTATCTAACTGAATTTTTTAATGCATCTTTTCTGATTTAAGACTTGGCTGGTAACTCGTTCAATTCTGAATCTAGTGTTTTTCAGTTTTTTTAATTTAAAAGCAGACTAAACAACTGGCATCTATTTATGGTATCCTCAAAAAAGAAAGTTCTCTCATTTGTTTACTGCCTAATTTCGGATAAAAATTTCTGCTTTCAATTCACTCACTTTTACTGCTGTTACGCCTTGCAAAAAAATGCTGTTGTTGAAGAACTTGATAAAGCACGCCTTCTTTTTTGAAAGTGACAGATTATTAGCACGTTTTCTAATAAATTTCGTGACACCTGGCTTAGAATTTTTTTACATGCTAATGTAAAATTTGACAAGACAAACAATAGTTTTTTGTACTAAACTAGTGCTTTTTAACACGTTTATATACTTGTCTCAGAACGATCAATAGGTAAGATAAATTTTGGACTTTTGCATTCACACTCGAAGCAGCACGTTCTTTTTTATTATGATTATAAAACTAGAAAAAGAGAAAAATTTGCTTTTTTCTTGGTAAGTAAACCTTCTTTCAAATACCAGAAAGTAATTGGATGAATAAGCAAAAATATTCAATTGTTTTTAACATTTCCAAAGTTGCCCTACCAAAGCAGCACCAAACTCCGCCATTTTTCCAAACAAAACCAACATTTAACAGAATTTTCTTTAAACTAACCAAAACTACAATATTTATTAGCACGATTCTTCGTCACGTTCAAGAATTGTATACTAGAACTACAATGCAATTGCAAATAACTAGAATGTATCCAGAGATATACTAACGTGTAAAACACCGTAGCACTTCTTTAAACTCCAAGTATCTAAATTCAGCCTGCACTGCAGTTTAATCCAACTTCACGCTTTTTACAGTACTGTATCAGTAAAGCTTAATGAAACACGAGCGATAGTTAAAAAATATTTAAAACAATACTTTCTTTGAAAATAAACTTTCAACAACTGTTAGTTCGTCAACGAAATAAAAAATTGCACGATATTTGTCACTAACCAAAGCAATTTTTACGCTTTAGAAGTCTATGACAAAATTTGAACACCACAGCTTATTGAACATTAGGCTGAGTCAAAAGCTGTTTGTTATTCAGAGAGCGTTTGTCCCGAGGCAAAATGTAATTCTTCTTTAAATCGCAAAAAAATTGGAACTTATTGAAGAAGTTTTGCTAAAATGATATCCGCAGTTCAGAGACATCGTAAACCATGCATTTTTATGCTGTCCAAGAAATTTTCATGCGAGAAATTCCCAAAAAATATTAAACCGAATGACAAATGTACCTGTCAGTGACTTCTTTCGCGAATCCAAAGTCTGTAATTTTTACATGACCATCTTTGCTGAGCATCAAGTTTTCAAGTTTCAGATCTCGGTACACCTATAAAATCGTGCAAAATACAAGTTGCAGTTTGGTAATCTGTGATTAACAAGATTTGCAAGAAAAAAAAAAGGATCAAAACAAAAAAATATCAGACAAGAAGTTTCTCTCTTTAGAATGTCAAAAATTTTATTTGCTAAACATTTTTTTTCGTCTGTGTGTGTATGCGGCTTTTTTTATCACTCTTTAATCTATTTCTAACAACAGCTTTCAACTTTCTTGTAATTTACTGAAAATGAATCAAACGAAATATGAAAAATATCACATTCCATTGTTTCCTAAATGATAAATAACAACAAAAAACTCTTTATAGATTTTCAAGAAAATAATTTGAGATTATAATAGAATTATTTAAGAAGTTTCTGTTAAATGTTTAGCTGTAAAAGCATTTTTTCAAATTCTCTAAATATTCATTGAAAAACATTCATAAGCGAAAATTCAAGAAATCAGTGCTAAGATGCTAATTTATTTTATTTAGAAATTAGGTATCTGAATAACAAAAGTTCATGTAAAACTACCATTATGTAACTTTAGTACTACAGTTGCTTTATTTCGGTGTTTTAGTTTCATGCGCAGAAATGAAAATGGAGAAGAACTTTCAGTAAACTAAAATGAAATGATATCAGAAGTCACCGTATTCTGTTTTCATTAGTTGAAAATTTTTGCAAAAATTTATTAACAAAAAATTTCTGTGTTTTGCTGTCAGTTTTACTTTACAAGTATTCCCTATGCATGATAATTTGATTTGCCAACAGTAATACAAGTTTTACTAAGACAGAAAAAAAAGAGGAAAAAAAAGAGAAGGAGTATGAGTAATTACGCTTGTCTAAATTACCATTCTTTAAAAAACAATCTTCTTAAATTAAAAAAAAAAAAAAAAAAGAAAGAAGAAAGTAGAAAACAATAAGAATGTTATATTATTTTTGTTTTAACCTTAAATTTCTTACCAAAAGCTCTAAAATTGTTATTTGGACAAAAAAAGATTGCATAGAAATCATACAATGCATTTGGCATGAAGATATTGCAGTGCTGAGATAATTTCTGCTGCATAAAAACGGCTCATATGAACAGAAAAATTTTTTGATGCTCTTAAGTATGAGAACAGTTCACCGCCAGACAAATATTCAAACAGCATATATAGGCTGCTTTGATCTGACGCTGTACAGTACCTGTAAATAGCCAATTTTTTAAACTTTTAATCAACTGAGATTTACACTGATCATCGACCAGCATTGAACAATCAATTTAACAGTTTCCATAAAGATAAAAAAAAAAATAAAACAACTGTTGAATCAAATAGCAAAGTTTATTTACCGAAAGAAAGAAATGAAAACAAATATACTACAATAATTTAGTGAATAAAAAAAAGCTTCTTTGGTAATTTTCTATCAGTACTCTTTTTTTAATAAGCAAATAAACCATATAGCAAGTAAAAAGCAACAAAAAAAACTTTATTCAAACTAACATTTTGACGATAAACGGATGCGATAAACGACAGAGTAACTTCTTCTCCGAGTGCACATGCTCAGTTTGTCGAGTTGACACAACCTTTGATATTGACAATTTTTTTAATGCAAAATACTGTTCTGAAGCCAGATGACGTACCAGATAAACCCGACCAAACGATCCCTTACCTTAAACATAAACATGCAAAAAAAAAAAAAAAAAGGTAAAACATAATTTCCGACTTTTTTTCTTCTTACATATTTAAATAAAAAACACTAAATTAACAAGCAACTAGAAAGCAACTATACATCTGCACTTGGTACAGAAATAAATTATAAATATTATTGTCTTTTTTTTCTTTTGTTTAAGTTCTTTACTGTTATTTTTAGAAACTGACTAATAGTTCTGAAATTTGCACTAGATTGCGCCGTCAAAAAAGAAACCTTTATTTTACAGCCAGACTATAGTTTACAATAGACTTACCGATTGTACAGATACGTTCCAGACCGTCTAAATTAAGTTTATTGTTGTTCGGATCAATGGTCACTGAAACACATGGCTCCAGATCATCTGTCATTGAAATTGCCTCGCTCACCATTTAGGCTTTTACAATGTTTTTCTTTTTGCCCGAACTACCAGTGTACGCGACTTTCCAGAAAAACTTGTCTCCTGGTTTTCCTCTGAACAACCTACAATTTGATGACCAATTATTTGAACAGACAATAAAGCATAATTTTGAAACATCACCGACATCAATTACCGTCATCGTTCGACACCAGTAGATGGTATGTCACAAAATAAGAAACTTTTTTTCAATAAAAATGCCAAGAAAAAAAAAACATTTTATGGTGATCGAACTAACGAAACACTGACGAAACAGTCTGTTGATTTACTAATATTTGTAATCAAAACACAGCAAAAAACTTGTCACGATTACGCACAATTTTTTCGGCTTTTTCTTCTTTGCCCTCCTCTCCTAACAACAATACAACGGCTACAACACCCTCGACTACGCAAATGTTTTCGGTTAAATTTGTTTAATTAATCAATCGAATTATCAGTCAACAATAATTGTGCTCTTCTTCCCCCTCATCTTTGCCCTCTTTTCTAAGGTGAGGTAAAATAAAACAGAAAAAAAAAGCATAAAATTTGACGTCAACGAAAAGAAAAAAAAGGAAAAATTGCGATTTAAAATATAGCAGTAACAACAGAAGCACTACCGACCACCGTCATCGATCGCAACAGAGCATAATCTGATTACGGGTATTTTCATAAATAAAAGCTAAAATTTAATTTATAAATAGAAACAAACAAACAAAAAAAAAACAGTTTGTGTTTGATACATTCACTAAGTTGATTACATATCAGTAAAATCAAAACCAGAGAAAAAAAAACATTGAATTCCTCGTAACTAAAGAAAAAAAATTTTTTTATAAATTTATTAAAAAAATTTAAGTTGGTTTAAAATTATAAATTTCATATGAAAAGGAGCAAAACAAAAAGAAAAAAACATTGGTGACCACGTTATTGCTATTCAAATTTTTTAAATATATTATTCTCAATAAACATAAATCTATTTATAACAAACAATTTTGCATACCTCACCATCGTCATCGTCATCACCATTAACCTTATTATACAAACAGTAATTATAATCTTAGTAATAATACCAGCAAGAGCAGTAATAATATTAGTAACAGCAAAAATATTAGCAACAATAACGATGATGAGAATAATACCAATAATACCAATAATAACAACGGTCTTCACCTATCATTTACCGCCTAGCTATGTATATATGTATCTATTACGGTTGAGTAAAACTTCATATGACTTTAGGCAGAGTTTTGTTTTATGTATGACAAAAAAACTTTCATTTAGTAAGCTAATTTTTTTTTGGGTTTTCTCTTTTTTTTTCCTCTTCCGTTCGTTCATTAATTAATTTAGTCAGTTAGTCAGTCCTCATTCATGTTCTGTTGCTGTTGTTGTTGTTGTTGATATCACTGGTCGATGATGGTAGCCGAATAACAACAACAGCAGCAACAACAACAACAGATCAGCAACATGTGCATTTGATCCTTCCGACCCCAAATCATGTAACAAACAAAGCACAGAAACACAAAAAAAAAAGGAACAAAAAACAACAAAGTACAAACATTATTTGCAGCAATTATTAGAAACAAAACAAATTCTTCGCCGAAAAATAACAACAACAACAACGACAGCAACTCCTTGACTTATCAGCCATGAAAACTTTTTAAGTTTAAAAGAAATAGCAGCAGTAAAATTGAAAAAGTTCAAAATTGTAATCAATGTACTTTTTTTTTTTTGCTCAACCCAAAAATTTTTGCAGCAACATTCAAATAATACGTTGTAACGTCAGTCAAACAACACATCAAAAACAATAACATTTTTCAAGCACTCACTAACCTTCACCAACACTTCTTAATTTTTCTTCTGTTTTTCGTTTATCATTCTTACTATGTGTTTTTTTTTCCATTACAGTCAAAATAACCCAATACAAAATACAGGTAAAATTAGCGAAAATAAAAATTCAATTTCAACTGTTGAATAGCATCGGTAAACAACAACGACGACGATTGTCAACAGTCTCTCATTAGAACAGTATCAGTAAGCAGCTAGATAGCATTTCAGACTAGACTTAGCTGTGAGAAAAGAATACAGCTAACTGAATTTGAAAGAAGTAGCAAAAACAAAAGTACTAAGATTAAAAACAGTTTTTAATTCGTTTTAATTTTCCTTTATTTATTTTCATCTTCCTTTCTATTCATTTCCTTCTTTTTTTTCCACCTGCTGTCGTTGCATTTCCGGTGGTTTTATAAAATAAATTTTTGAAAGCCACACAACACAAACAAATAAATAGACTGAAGTAGATAAAAAATAAATTAAAAGTGAATATTTTATCGACAGAGTAAGCAAGAAAAAAATGACATAAAAAACGCGGAAGTAAATCAGCATTTAGTTTATCAAAAAGGAGAACAGAAAAGCTGCTCTCATTGTATATAAGAATAAGTGTTGTGACACTACTTATTCATCATTCCAGCAAAAAAAAATTTTTTTTAGAAGAGACTAAACCCATTTTTTATTGTTTTTTATAAAACTTCAAAAAAAATGTATCAAAATATCAGTTTTAGCCCAATTAATCGACGAATAAAGCCAAAAAAAGAAAAAAAACTGCTAATTTCATTGATTGATCCATCAGCAGATTTCAACCAATCTTTTCGTTGTATGTGTATTTTTTTGTATCCATGTCTTTATTATTTTCTTCGTTCTTTTTTTCCTTAACCAGCAATTATTTTTATATTTCTTAAAACATTTATTTTATAATTAACCAAGAAAAAAATTCTTTTCTTTCAAAGCTTAAACACGAATTTACAATGTTCTATTTTCGTGCCTTTTTCTTTCACGGATATTCCTCAGTTTAGCACTAAAAAAATTATATCAAAAAAGAATCCCTTAATCTCTCAAATGAATGATAATGCCAACAATAGTTGAGGTTGATAAAGGATGATATGAACAGTGATAATGATAACTACAGCGACAACGATGACCAGCAACAATTAAAACAGCACCGACTAAAGCAACGATCTGCTCGTTTAATGCTTACAACGAGACAGACAACATTTGCCTAAAGACCAATAGTTTTTAGCGTCAATACTTACTGCAATTTTCGTCTTGACTGACTTTCCACTTTAGCAGCATCATTTTTTATCATCAACAACAGTACTAAGCTGAACAAATTTAGCAAAAACAATAAACGGTATTAATCAGCAATGATAGCAGTGTTGATGATGATGAATAACATCTGAAGCAGAGCAAAGGGTTTGCTCCATCTGTTCTTCTGCTCAGTAGTACTTCTATCCTTGATAAGCGCATAAAGCATTAAGCGACTAAAAAAAAAAAAAAAAAAAAAAAGACAAATCTTATTCCAAACCGCTATGAAACCAGAAATCCCATTGGATCCAAAGCTGTGCCGACAGCAACAGTAGCAGTAGCAGTAGCAGAAAAATTAGTTTTGTTTATCGTTTTTAGTCTAACAATTAATTGAAACCAGAAAAAAAAAAGAAGAAGAAGAAAAGTACAGTAGAACATTTAGATAAACTGTTGATTAGTATCAAAAAAAAATTCGATAAGGCTAATTTTTTTCCTAAATTTCCTTTTCTATCTACTTTATTTGTCTTAATACAGTCTCCCTTTTTTTTTTTGCCAACTTTTTGGTAATTGATTCATGTACATTAAAGTTTTTCTGATCGTTATCTCATCTCAGAGTAATCGGTTATAGTTTTCAAACAATGAATTTAAAAATATTAAAAAATGTTCACAGAACTGTTCTGAGGAAGAAAAAAAAACGAACGAACGAAAAAGAAGCGTATATTCAAAGACGCTGAAAACGACATATTTATATTTGATGAATCAAACTAAGGAATAATTTGCAGTTGAAAACGGCTTACAAGATTACTTTGGGCCTTGAAATTGTTCAGCCAATGCTCTATCGCTCTCTCTTTCTTCATTTTCTTCTGACTATTTTGAAAGAAAATGAAATAATCTTTTACATTATTAATTAATGACTAAAAAAAAAACACGAAATGCATTAAATATTTATTCTTATTGCTAACTAAACTTTTGGGGGGAAAAAACTAAAGAACATTCAGATACAGTCACTGCGTATCCATCCAGTCTGACCAGTTGTCCAGTGCCATCAACTGGCATATCCGTCTGAAAAACAATTGGGCTTAACGGCATCCAAACTAAATGTATTAAAGTATTTAACAAATACCATTTGCAGCATTATTTTTATTGTTGTTGCTATTAATTTAAATTTGATAAAAAAGGGTTTTGAAATATCATATTTTTACCGACTTTTTTTTGTGGCGTTTTAGTTGTTCTTTCCCTCCCACCACAAAACCATTTCCACTGAAATAATCCATAGAAATTTGATTAACTGAAATGGTTCAACATTCAGCAATAATGTGTATCAAAAGAAAGTTTTAAACAAAAAAAAAAAAAAAAAAA